AGATAGATAGATAGATAGATAGATAGATAGATAGATAGATAGATAGATAGATAGATAGATGATAGATTCCCTGAAAATACAACCTGTCCTGTAACTAAGGCCTTGCCACATTTTTCGCGTGGGCAAAAATATAAGCTCCCCTGAAAATAATCCCCCTGGACAACCCCCCCTCCATCCGGGCAGAGCACCACTCACCGACCTAGCAGTATCCCGAAGGTGCCAAGCTGCTGGAGCTGTGGGGGGAGAAAGGTGCTCACGTTGCTTGCCGCCTTTGGGATACCGCTAGGTTGAGGAGTGACGTTCTGCCTGGCCAGAGGGGGGAGTTGCCAGGCGGCTGCTCCCTTGCGAGCGGGCTCCCAAAGAGTTGGGCACAGCCTCAGGAGTGAAGCAGCCATGAGGTGACGACGCTCACGAGCAGCCACCCGGCAAACCCCCTCTCCAGCTGGGCATAGTGCCATTCACTGACCTAGGGGTATCCGTAAGGCGCCAAGCCACATGGCACTCTGCCCACCCCCCAGCTCCCGCGGCTTGGCACATTCAGGATACCCCTAGGTCAGTGCATGGAGCTCTGCCCGGCTGGAGAGGGTGGTTGCGTGAGCGCCTGTTCTGCCCCCAGCTCTATCGGCCCACAACCATAGAGTGCAGTCCTAGAGTGGCCATTGCTGGAAGAATTGGAAGCCGAGTTCCGGAGTTTGGAAGCCGGAGAAGAAGTTACGCTTGAAGCGTGGCGGCGGCGGCGGCGAAAGTGGTGGCAGTGCCCTGGCCCTGCAGGGAAAGCTGGGCCATGCCATGGTGAGGCTGGGAAGTATGCGAGCTGGGGGCAGAACAGGCGCTCGCGCAACCACCCTCTCCAGCCGGGCAGAGCTCCATGCACTGACCTAGGAGGTATCCCAAATGTTCCAAGCCACGGGAGCTGGGGAGCGGGCAGAGCGCCACGTGGCTTGGCGCCTTAGGAATACCCCCTAAGTCAGTGAATGGCACTCTGCCCGGCTGGAGAAGGGGTTTGCCGGGTGGCTGTTCATGAGCGTGGTCACCTCATGGTTGCTACGCCCCTGAGGCTGTGTCCAGCTCTTCGGGGGCCCGCTCGCAAGGGAGCAACTGCCCAGCACAACCCAAAACCATAAGCCCTTCCCTGATAATAAGGCCCAAGCTATATTTTGTGGATCAAAAGAAAATAAGACCTTGTCTTATTTTGGGGGAAACAGGGTAGATAGCTGTAGATGTAGGAGAGAGAGGGGGAGTAGAGGAGAGAGAGAGATTTACAAAAGTCATCAATAAAGAGAGGTTCATAAGGGCTAGAATCCAGAGTTCACTTCAATAGAAAGTACAATTATAAGAAGAGATACATAAATAATGCTTAATATTGGGTAATCATTTTTTAAAAGCATTATCCCAGCTTGTTGGAATTAAGAGACTATTCTCTTCTTTGTTTCAGGCAGAAAAGGGGGGATTTTTTGGAGCAAGTAGGGAGAACAGAAGCTTGAAGAAAAAGGTCAACTAAGAGAACAAATTTCAGATCAGTAGAATGTCAGGTGACTTTGTAGTTTCATTTTCAGACTGAAGGGAAAGAATAGAAAATTAGTGAGTCAAGCTTACCTCTCTACTGCAATGGCCACCAGGGTGAACACAGAAGCTGAGACCGACATGCCTTGGACCAACCCACTCATCTTACACATAAAAGTATCAAATGGCCAGCCTGGAAGATAAGCAGAACGTAAGAATGTTTGCAGGAACTGGGTATGTTTAGTTTGATGAAAAGAAGGACTAGGTGACCAGATTTTGAGATTGGTAAAGAGGGACACCTTTGACCGCGGGCTAGGGTGTGCATGGCCAGCTCGACATCACTTGTGTCAGGCCTGCCTGTAGGCCCAAGCACTCTGCCAGCGAAAATGGGCTCCCGAGTTCCCGAAAATGGGCTTCCAAGCTTCATTTTTGCTGGCAGAAGCTCCGTGGGATAGATCTAAGCACCCTGTGGGCCGGATACGGCCCCTGGGCCTTGAGTTCGACGCCCCTGATTTATTGTAATCAAACCTGTGATCACAACCTCTCTAGTTCCTTCCTCGTGCTATTAATTTGTCAGCGGCTAATTGTTTTAAGGGGGCTTGGTGAAGACTTCTGAGAATACTGTCGACAACCAACCAACCAACCAACCAACCAACCAGCAAGGGGATCATTGAACACATCAACACTAAACTCTCATTTGAAGCACAAATGACCAGATTCAAATTATCCTGCTTTGAACATAATATCAGGGGTGGGCTTCAAAATTTTTAGCAAGGGGTTCTCTGCCTGGTTGCTGGGTGGGCGTTGCCATGATGGGCTTGGCCTAGTTGGCCTCCTGCACCATAGCCGGGTATGTGTGTGTTTTTGCCCTCCCCGGGGTCCAGAGGCTTTCCTCGATCCTCCGGAAGGGTGAAAACAGCCTCCCCAGGTTCCAGAGGCCCTCTGGAGGCTGGAAACAGGCACGTTTGTGGTCTTTCCGAACTTCCAGTAGGTCAGATTTTTGCCCTCCCTGAGCCTCTGAGTGCGCCCTGCACTTACCTGCATTCAAAACGGGGCCAGCCAGGAGTGGGATATGGGGGTTCTCCGCACTGCACAGAATTTTAGCTAGAGGTTTTCTCGAACCCCTGCGAACCCCCAGCAGCCCACCCCTGCATGATATTACGCAAATATCCACCTGTGGAAAAGGCTTGATTGCTGATAAAGATGGAAGGAAACAGAAAAAGAGGACAACTAACAGCAAGGAAGATGGAATTAGTTACAGAGATAATGGGGGCAAGTTTTCAAAGACCTGAAAAATAAGATTAGGGATAGATTGTCCTGGAGAAAATCTATTTATGTGGATGCTAGGATTATGAAATGAGACATAAACCATTTAAAAATTGTGTTAGGATTTTTTCACAGTTTCAAGATTTTTTTTTATAGACGTTGCATGCTCGTCTCTTATAATGTATGTTCTTAGAGAAGACTGTAAGTATATTTTGATTGATTGCTCCGAATGCACCTTTAGATATATTGAAATCCATTGCTTCAATTGGGTCTGAGCATGCTCATATCTAAGATGTCCAGTCGTACAAATGGTGAAGTCCAAGGGATAAGGCCCCAAATGTATGAATTTGGGAGATGTTTTTTATTTAAGACAATAATAATGAGTACCAATAGTAAATACCATGATTCCCTCTGAAATAGTAGGTTGAATTCCAAGTTTAATAGAATAAAATCATCTAAAACACAGTTGGAAAAAAAAATCCATAAAATTTCTCTGATTTACTCGTTTGCACTGCTGTACACTTTTGTATATCAGCTATAGATTCTTGTCAGCCAACACTATAAAATAACACATATAACAGAAACATATAAATACATAGAATGAAAGTAAGATGATTAGCCAATAACAGTAGATGATACTAACTTACTATCCTCCAAAACATTTTTGAAAATATCTACAGACCCCTCAAATCCTGGACATAAAGTAGTTCAGCTCCTCCCCTCAGGACATTGCTATAGGGCAGTGATCTATAGGGCAGTGATGGTTAACCTTTTCGGCACTGAGTACTGAAACTGGAGCGGGCGCCGGAACACCAGAACCCGAAAGAGAGCAGCTGGCAGGTGCGCATGTGCATGGCGATCAGCTCTCTTCTGCGGCCAGCTGTTCTTCTAGATCAGTCACATGCATGCACGCCAGCCAGGTGGCCCAGAGCGCATGTGCACCAACCAGCTACTCTCTTCCAGGTTCCGGTTCACACATATGCGTCGGCCAGCTGGTCTTTGCACAAAGACCAGCTGGCTGATGCACAAGCACGGCTGACCAGCTGTCCGGTGCACATGTGCACAATGGAATCCAGAAATGTAGCTGGCGACAGTGCACGTGCCCACAGAGTGGGCTCTATGTGCCACCTCCAGCACGCGTGCCATAGGTTCGCCATCATCGGTACTAAAACCGATGTCAGCCTCTGCTTCACTTGCTTGCTATCGGCTGCCATAGAAACGGGGAGGGGGGGGGCATGGTATTTGGGATGGGAATTGTATGGAGATGTGTAAAGGGGAGTTTTGTTCTCACCATCTTCTGTGCTTGCTGATGGCCGATGTTTAGACCTGGTCAAGACCAACTTTCTCACATACCAACATGATGAGGCCTTTTGAAGATGCACTCCACATGACACCTTAGGGAGCTGCAGACTGGACACTCGGATGGGGTAATTGGAGGGAGGAGGCTGGGTAATCATTTGATATGTACTTGTTCGTGCCTTTTTAGTTCAGATCTTGCTTTTCTTTCGCTGCTATCTTTTCATAACCAGTAAAAGTATCTTTAATTCCACGAACAATGGAGTTGGGAGTTTTCTTTCTTGGTTTTTGATGGAGGCACGCCCAACATTAAGCAAAACCCTGACACACTGACACACTGCTTTATTTAGAACAATCATGAA